ACTACTAGATTTAATAAATGAATTTGGCCAAGTATCAGGATACAAAATTAACATCCAGAAATTGATGGCATTCTTATACATCAATAATGAACACTCAGAAGAGGAAACTAAAAAAAAAAAAAAAAAAATCCTATTTACCATTGCAACAACAAAAAAATAAGATACCTAGGAATAGATTTAACCAAGGAGATAAAAGTCCTGTTCTCAGAAAACTACAGGACATTGAAATAAAGCAATAGAGGAAGATATAAAAAAGTGGAAGCATATACCATGTTCATGGATTGGAAGAATTAACATCATTAAAATGTTCATACTATCCAAGGTAATCTATAGATCAATGCAATTCCTATTAAAATACCAATGGTATATTTCACAGCTCCAGAATAAATTCTCCAAATATTATATGAAACCAAAAAAGACCCTGAATAGCCACAGCAATCTTGAAAAAGAACAAAGTTAGAGAGATCACAATATCAGATTAACAGGTTATACTGCAAAGCCATTGTAGTCAAAACAGCCTAGTACTGGCACAAGACCAGGCATATAGATCAATGGAACAGAACAGAAACCCCAGAAATCAAGAAATTATGCTCAATTAATATTTGATAACGGAGGTGAGATCATACAATGGAGTAAATATAGTTTCTTCTATAAATGGTGTGGGAAAGATTGGATAGGTACATGCAAAAAAAAAAAAAAAAATGAAACTAGACCACCAATTTACACCATGTGCATGAATAAACTCAAAATGGATAAAAGACTTAAATGTAACTCATGAAAGTATAAAAACCTTAGAAGAAAATACAGGCAGCAAAATTTTAGACATCACACATACCAGAATTTTCACTGATACATCGCCTAAGGCAAGAGAAACAAAGGGAACATTTAATAAATGGGACTACATCAAACTAAAAATCTTCTGCACAACAGAAGAAACCAGCATCAAAATGAAAAGGGAACCTACTCTCTGGGAGAACATTTGCCAATGATAAGATAAGGGGTTAATATCCAAAATATATAAAGTACTCATATAACTCAACAAAAAGAAGACTAACAATTAAATATTAATTTAATTTAAAAATGGGCAGAGGATCTGAATCGACACTTCTCCAAAGAGGACATAAAAATGTCCAGGAGACATGAATAAAATGCTCAACATCACTAATCATCAAAGAGATGCTAATTAAAACAGCTATAAAATATCACCTCACACCTGCCAGAATGGCTGCCAACAACAAATTATCAAACAACAAGTGCTGGCAAGAGTGTGGAGAAAATTGGACTCTAGTCACTGCTGGTGGGAATGCATACTGGTGCACCACAAGGGAAAACACTATGAAGTTTCCTCAAAAAATAAAAAAAACGAACTATCATCAGACCCAGTGATCCCATTTCTTGGAATATATCCTAAGAAGCCTGAAACACCAATTAGAAAGAATATATGCACGCTTATGTTCATAGCAGCACTATTTACAATTGCTAAGATCTGGAAACAGCCTAAGTGTCCATCAGTGATGAGTGAATAAAAAAGCTGTGGTACATTCCCACAATGGAACACTATACAGCTATAAGAGAGAAAGCTCTCTTACCCTTTGAGATGACATGGAAGTACCTGGAGAATATTGTGCTAAGTGAAATAAGCCAGTCAGGGAAAGACAGGTATCACATAATCTCACTTCTTTGTGGAATATAACAAACACAGTAAGCTGTCAAACAAAATAGATCCGGAGACATGAAAGTAGGGAACAGATTGACTAACCTCAGAGGGAAGTGGGATAGGGGAGTGGGAAGAGAAAAACAAACCAAAGATAGTGAATTGAATGGGATGGGAGTTATATGTCACTAAAGCAGTTATTTAAAAAATTAGGCTCTGCTATTGACATTGAGCGTTGTCATCTTCTCTGATCAAGGGCCCATTACAGAGTCTACCTCAAAGAGTAGGTATGAGGATTAAATGAGAGATTGTAGGGAGAACTCTTGGCACAGTGACTGGTTTAGTCCATGCTTGATAATAGATAGTGATGATGTTCATATGTTTGCTTAAATACGTGGCCTTTCTCTTCTCCATCCTGGAGCACAGGGTCGGTGGTTCTTTCAGCAAATAAAGCAGGTGATTCGTAACGACTTTGGGTACGTGAAAACTGACCCTCTCTCTTAACACCCTCAAAAAGGAGTTGCCTCTGATGGTGCGGCCTTATGGCTCTGATATCTGTTATTTATTTCTTAACTAATATAACTGAGACCTTGCTCAAGATGTGCTCATGAAAAATTACCCTTTTAATGGTGGAGCATTTAATGAGAAACTGGATTATCTACTGCCTAAGTGCCCTTCATACAAATTAACTTGGCCCTGGGTCCTAATCTAAATTGGGCTCCCTACTTTCCTCTAAATGGCCTAATATTTTCTTATTAATCTCTGCCCTTATTCACCTGATCTGCTTCTGCCTCCTTTTATGAAACTCGCTCCTTAGCTGAGCCCTGTGCCCTGACAAACATTTCTCAAGGCTGACTCATGGACAGTTGTTAGACGTGATGTGCAGGCTGGAAACTGTTTCATTTTTAAGCTGTTTTTCCAGCGGCGTTTTACTGCTGCCAGTGTATTGAGTATCAGCAGACTTGGCCCAGGTAAAAGATGGGGCTTTACAGGAAAGCTGGGGAGATGAGAAAAAAATTAATCATAGTGGTGAAAAGAACAGGCTTGAAAACAAAACACAACGCACAAGCCTGAGCTTCGCATCAGATGGATCTGGGTTCAGGTCCCACTTAGTGAGTTTGGACAAGTTACCTGGTCTCTCAAACCTTCAATTTAGAGCTCTGTCTATAAAACCTGAATACTAGCACCCACCTCTAGGATTTTTTTTCTGGAGCTGAATAAGTTGATGCATGTACATGCTTGGTACAAGACCTGATAAATGCTACCTGGTATTGCGGTTATAATTCAAGTTTGGAGGAAGTCCCAAATAGTAAAAGGGATGTTAATAGTGACAAAATAGAGTCATGTGTTGAAGAGGCAGAGATGGTATTTATGAGAGAGGAAGATGACTTTCCCAAGAAACAGACCAAGCGCTAGGCTACTCCTACCAAGCAGTACACAGTAATGCAGGGAGTGGTGACCTGGAGGACCATGGGCCCTGTTGTTTAGCTAGATGTCCATAGAGGGTGTATCATGGCAAATGTTCTCCTCGTTGTGCTTAGCTTTAATCTCTGACATCTGCCCTCCCTGAACCCTGGAGACTTTATTTTTACATTGACCATTGTTTCTCACTAATCATGTGTTATATTTGCTTTAAGGAATATCATTCAAAGGCTTGAATATACTAGGAGTTAGCAAGGACGAAGTGGGAAAACGCCATCTGGGAGCTGAGGACCACGGTTCCAGGCCCGGCTCTGCAGACCTTTCTCCTTCATGCCCTCCTGCCCTCACCTTGTATTTTCCACATGCTTCTTTGATGGGGAGCTACTGGATAATACCATGGATAGAAAACTGAACATGTGAATACATGTTTTGCACAGACTGTCTCATTTAAGTTACTATTCAGAACAACTATGAAAGTAGATATTGAATCTTCATGCAACAGTCAAGGAAATTGAGGCTCAGCAGATACGTTAGTTGGTTTACAAGTGACAGAGTTGTGATTTAGAACAAGAATGTCTGACTCTGAAGCTTGTACCTTCTTACATACCCAGCACAACACATTTTTATTTGCAGTTGCCCAAAACTTGAGCTTCCATGGGCACAGACTGTCTCACCCGTTGTCAGTGAGTAATAGCATCCATCTGTCACAGGGGAGATGCTCAGTAAGGGATAAATGAAATGCAATTCATGTTTTGCCAATAGAAAAGTATTGTACAATGGTTAGCTATTGCTGTTGTGGGGTTTTTTGTTTTGTTTTGTTTTGTTTTCTATTTTAAGCATTTCCTCAAATAATTTTCAACCCCACCTTATGGAAAGACTTTCCTTTTGCACATCGTATAGACGTAAAATGGGCTAGGTTATCACAAATGTCCTCAGCTCTACGTTTCCGGCTGTTGAGGGAAGGCATGATAGAAGAGGTGTAGACGCTGAAGGTAATGGTGGTTCAGGAGATGAATATCAGAAGGCTAGGGTATTCCAGGTTTTATGTGAACCACATGCACAATGCCCCAAACTGTGAACTTGAACAGGCCACTTGAATTCTCGGACCTTTATCTTTATCACCTGGAAAATGGATATGGTTGAGGTGTTGTGAAGAATGGAGGTAAAGTGTATGAAACATTTCATATGAAACATGTACTCAGTTCACAGTGACTTTACTGTTTGCGTTTTATGTAGATGGGTTTGAACTTCTGGTTGATGTATCTTAGCCAAATATTATGTTAGTAATTACTGAAGAAGCCTGTTGCAAGGTGTGGGCACACCATACCGAGTAGTGTGGAAGTCTATTTCCGTACACACATGAGTTAGCAGAAGAGATATTATGAAGCCATTTTTTTTTTTTAAAATAATTGTCCTGGGTCATTTCTCGATACAAAGCAGTTACTCTGGAGCCTCACTATAAAACAGCTCATGGAATTGGATATAAGGAGGATCTTGGAGCCTGGCCAAAGCCATATTAAATGCTAGAAATGCTAAAGAAGCTCAGTGCTAATACTGTTCTAACGAGATCGTTGGTGGGTTGTTAGAGGTTATCATATGCCCAGTGTGTGTCACACACGGTACTGGGCGCTTTAGCGTGTTCTCTGGTTTGTTTACCGAAATGCCTTCTTGCGGTTGGCTATTTCTAACTCCTTTTTCTGCCTGAGGAAACAGGCTGAGAGAGGAGAAGTGATTTGCCGTGGGATTTAAAAGGAGGGAGCTAGACTGTACATCCAGGAACACTGCCGTGTTTTTCTTCTTGGTCCAAAGAGGTGACTTCCCTAGGACACGGTGACGCACGAGAACACACGTGGGTGCTTCGGGTATTCAAAGCCCACAGTCCCTGAGCGCCTAATATCTGACTCTTGCTCTTCTCTGTTTTTAGGTCAGGATCGCAGCGAAGCCACTTTGATAAAGAGGTTTAAAGGTGAAGGGGTCCGGTACAAGGCCAAACTGATCGGGATTGATGAGGTTTCGGCAGCTCGGGGAGACAAGTTATGCCAAGACTCCATGATGAAACTCAAGGTGCTGTGCAGACATTCTACTTTCCATATCGTGGGTTTACTATGACTGAGAGAAAGACGTAATTACACTGTCATTGCGGTAAAAACTTGGCTGCTCATTTATCGGTCGATCACTCCTGTGCTGGGTCACTGATGAATCACTGCCGTTGTTCACGGGAAGAACATGCAGTCGCTCAGCAGATGTTGACGGAGCACTTCCTGTGCGGAGGTGTTCTGTTAGGCCGTCTTATCTTCTGATGGTCGCATTCTATTCAATTGTCTTCTTCGTGCAATGCCTGCAAAAATAAAAGTAAAATAATCAAAGGGTATAGTCCCTCCAATTTTATGAATTTTCACCACTTCGTTTTTATTTATTTATTTTTAATCCTCACTTGAGGCTACTTTTCAGACAGAAAGGGAAAGGGAGAGAGGGAGAGAGAAACATAGATGTGAGAGAGACACATCGATTGGTTGCCTCCTGCACAACCCCAACCAGAGTTGGGGACTGAACCACAATCTAGGTACATGCCCATGACCGGAATCGAACCCGAGAGTCTTTGGTCTAAAGGCCGATGCTTTCACCACTGAGCCAAACCAGCCAAGGCTCACCACTTTATTTTCAATAAATTTTATACATTAAAATGTCTATATTGCCCTGGTTGGTTTGGCTCAGAGGTTAGAGTGTCAGCCTGCAGACTGGAGAGTCCGGGTTCGGTTCTCACTAAGGGTACGTACCTCGGTTGCAGTTTGTCCCCTGCCTCGGTTGGGGTCGTGTGGGTGGCGGCCACTCGATGTGTCTCTCTCACATTGATGTTTCTCTCTCTCTCTTCCCCCCTCTCTCCCTCCCACTCTATCTGAAGATAAATGTAAAAATGTCCTTGGGTGAGGATAAAAAAATAAAATAAAATTTATACATTATTATATGAAAAATATAATAAAATAGCTATGTTAAGGTAAAAGCTGATTTTATTCATTCTTATAACTTCTATTAATGCCCTCAAATGCTTTAAAATAAAAGGAAACATTTTAAAAACTAACTTGTAACCAGATACTGGAATTTGGAGATAACACAAAGAGGTTTCTTATTTCAAATGCTTTTATTTATTAATTAAAACTTTTTTTTATTGATTTTTTTTTTTTAGAGAAAGAGGAAAGGGGGGGGGGGGAGAGAGAGAGAGGGAGAGAGAGAGAGAGAGAAACATCAATAATCAATCAGCCACTTCCTGCATGCCCCTGAGTGGGGATCCGGCCCACAACCTGGGCATGTTCCCCAACCAGGAATCAAGTAATCGACCTCTTGGTGTGTGGGTAGATGCTTAACCACTGAGCCACAGTGGCCAGGCTTATTTTAAATGCTTTTAAAAAGTCTTTTCATTGAGAAATCTAAGAAAGAAACTGGAAAAAAATTTAATATGCAAAATAAGAAAATTATGATATTAAATGGCCATTAAAAACAAATAAAAAGAAAATAGTTTGTTCTTAGATTGTGGTCTCCATGTAGTCTGTTTTTTATTTAAGTGATATAAAATACTTTTAAAAATCAAATGGTTTAACAACAACTTGATAAAATATCTTATGCATTTAAAACATGGTTTTAGTGATTATAGAATTCACAAAATTTTCATTGTAAGATATTTTGAAAATATGGAAAAGTATAAGAAGGAAAATTGAAAATCTTCCTCAATCCCACCGCACAAAGAAAATTAGTATCAAAATTTTAAAATTGTTTACTTTGTAATCTCTCTTTGTATTTTTATATACATTTATATATACATTATATACATAGACCCCCGGCTGGTGTAGCTCAGTTGGTTGGAGTGTCGTCCAGAGCACTGATGGTCTTGGGTTCGATTCCCAGTCAGGGCACATACCCAGGTTTTGGATTTGATTTCAGGTTGGAGCAGATACAGGAGGCAACCAATCATTGTTTCTCTCTCGTATTGATGTGTCTCTCTCTCTCTGTCTCTCTCTCTGTCTCTCTCTCTCTCTTTCTTTCTTTCTCTATCTTCGTCTCCCTTTCTCTCTCTCTAGAATCAGTGAAAAACATATCCTCCAGTGAGGATTAAAAAAAAAAGAAATATACACATATAAGTAATATAATTGGAGTTACTATGTATGCAGATTTATATCCTACTCTTTTCTTATCTAATAATTCATTATGAGCATTTAAAAAATTATCTGTACAGCTTTGTCAGTGTAATTTGTTTTAAATGTAAGAAAAAAGGAATAAAAAAATAAAACAAAAAGGCTGGCCAAATGCCTAAAAGTATTATATGGACGATATCTGCAAACACTCTATTTTTCCTTTTCTTTAATATTTGCTTAATAAGTCAGCCGTTATTTTTGTTTATAGTATACAAATGTTCTCAGCAGTTTAACATTTATATCCAAGGCTGTCTCCCTAAAGTATGACTGTAGAAATCATCATTTTAAAAAACTCTTAATTTTCTAAACTATGTAGCCATTGCTTTCTCTTTATGTTTTCAGCTGTCACACTAGCCAGCTTCATTTAATAGCTACATGTCTATTGTAAGGAGTCCTCGGAAAAGGTATAAAGAACACCCAAATTGTGATTTTGCAGGTTATCAGCTTGGAAGAGGTTACTGTGTCCTTTCTGATAATTAGGCAATGTTATGAGATCTTCTGGCAGTCTAATAACGGGCCCTCGTCTTCTACCAAGTTCAAATCCAATTGACAAATAGGCAAAGGAACCTGATAGGAAGAGTTCTAAATTCTAGCCTTATAAGTGTCGCTCTGAAAGACATGGCGTCGCAGTGGGTGTCCTTGAAAGAGACGGGCTATTCCACTTGGTTCATGGGGAATCCGTTCGCTCCAGCCCTCCCTGGTCTTCCCATCCCCTTCCCTGCTCCAGAGGAGGACCTTGATGCACACAGGAGATCAGATCAGAATGCATCCTCGCTGGCGTCCTCGGGCAGCTTGCAGAGAGAGAACCCAGAAGAGATTGAGCCAGGTGTTTTCAGCTTCTCTCCAAACCCCCCACTCAGATCGAGCCACCCCTACTTCCAAGGAGACTGATCAAGGGTGGGGAGAAAGGACTTCTTGCCGAAGTCCCCCCTTACGGAGTGTGAGGCCAGGTGAATTGAGATTGGCTCCTGACAGATGTTAATTACAAGACATCAAGAAAATCTCCAGTGACCTGGTTCCCATCCCGAGCCACAAGTGGCTGAGGAGAAAGGAGCGGATGTGTCTTCCCCTGGCATCCTTAGATGTCCATTCAGCAGGCATCTGTCGCAGAGTGCAGGGGGCGAGTTGGCTTGTACTCCCTGCAGGGCCACGTAACGCCAGGCCACGTGAGCCGGACCAGCTCTGGTGACGACGGCCGACCTTGCACGTGTGTGTTACTTGCAATGAAGTGTCCCCTCTGTCCACCCTATAATGGTGGGGTTCCCAAAGCCCTGACAGTTTGTCCTACTATTACACACTCTTTCAGATGTGCTGAACTCAAGGGGTTTTGTTTCCCAGACAGTTGTGTGTCATTATTTGCAAGTTGCCGAGCAGAATGTTGACATTTTAGCTCCCAGTGGTTTTTCCTTAGGAGACACAGAACCATAAACAATCGAGTCTTCACTTGGCCATCTGCCCAGGAAGGAAAGAGACAGAGAAGTACAAAATGCCTCTTAGCCTTGCTAAAAGGCCCCCTTGTTCATGGTAGACCATAGGAGAAATAAAAATAATTCTGTTCTCCTTCGCTGGACTCCCTGAAGTGGGAGCCTTTCCCTAGCATAGAATATTCTCTTGCATTTCAGAGGTTTGAGATGGGTTCATACTGTGAGTCTGGGTGAGCCATTGGCTGTCGGCCAACAGAGTGCCATCATCGTCGTATTTTAATTCAGGGTCAGCAAAGTACGTCGGTCCACATTATCTCTTGATCGTGTGAGGTATTAGCCTTACTCTTTTGTAAAGAAGAAATCTGAGGTTCATGGAAGTTAAAGGATTTGCTCCACAACCTTTATTTAGCCTGTGATAATCTTATGCCCAGAATTCAATCCCAGATTGTCAGAAGCCCCGTGTTTGACAAGACATAGTGTAAGGCTAAATAATATTCTGTTTTGATCCACATTGCATTTATCTTGGCCCCCCAACTAGATTTTAAGCCCCAATAGGCACATAGCATTGACCTTCAAAGTAGTCACCTTTCAGAGATGTTGGGTGAATGGAGGTGGTGGAGCTGGGGAAGAGGGTGAGATTGCAGAGCCCTGACTGTGCTCATCGGGTCCTGTAAGAAGCAGAGCCCACCCTGGCTGGGTCAGATGAGGACACTTCAACGAAGGAGCTACTTACAACGGGTAGGCAAGGTTAGGGTAGCAAGCAAAGGCTGGTGAGACCCCCGTAAACAAGTCCCAGTGGGAAGAAATGTATTTACTGGAACCCAGGGAGAAAGGACAGAGGATGAAGTCCCCTCCCTCACCAAACAAAAATACAGCTACTCCCAGAGATGCAGACTGAGGACAGGAAGGAGACTGGAAGATACGCTGACCTCTCTGTCTTTCCACCCTTTGGTCCCCTGCCTGTGCCTTAGCACCCAGCTGGAAGCCAGAGGGCAGGAAGTCAGGGGGCCAGGGAACCCAGTCTGCAGGGGCCAGTCCCTGGGCACCAAGCAGGGTGGAGGAAGCTGCTTGTATTCCCTCTCTTAACTGGGAACAGTGGAACTGAAGATGAGTTTCTATCCAAAGATCTTAATTAGACTACACAATATACTACAGATATTGTGGCAAGTCGTAGGGCTGATTGGAGACCAGGTTTCATTCAGGGAGCTTTCTGGAATAGCATTCTAGGTTTCCAGGCTGTAGCTTCCACACCTGCTCTGTGTGCTCCGTGGAGATCAGGGTCATTCCATCATGTGCACGCCCAGCAAGGTTTCCCACAGCCCTTTTCTCTACAGCGTCTGGGAGGGTGACGAGCTGGACAGGGCGACCTGTTACCCCTGCCTGGCGTACATGACTCCTCTGTATGCAAATTCCTCCATCAAGATGCTGCCGACGTGGGGCTGTCTTAGCGAGTGCCTGTGTCAGTCATTTCACACGGCGCCTGGCACGTGCTATCGCTTAGTAATGCCAACGTTAGTACTAGTAAGAATGGCACCTGCTAGGCACTGAGCTCTCCCGGCATACCGCGCAAAGTGCAGTGTGAGCACCGTTCATTGAAACGTCCCGACATTCTTAGGAGGCAAGAAGTGAGATTCTTCTCATTTCAGAGTTCTACTTCACTACTGAGTCTGGGAGCTGGTGGCTCCTCCTACTTATTTTCAGAACGTCTCTGACACGTCTGTAGTTTATTGTGTAGTCTGTTGTTTTCATCTCTGCTTCTGCTCGGATCTCCTAGAGTGTTATAACAGAAGGAGCTCCAACACTGGAATCTGTTTAAGTTTCCTCTATGTCTTGTAGGTTCCTTGAGGTTTGGGGTGGTCACTTGACCCTCTGAGCTATGTGTCCTTTTATGTGAAATAAAGGAAATCATTCTTACCACCCAGGATTGTTGTGTGGGCTATAACATATAACACGCAAAAGAATTTCTGCATAGTAGGTACCCAGGAAAATGTTTGACTCCCTAATTCCCAGCTTTCCAGCAGGGACTTGCTAGGTCAGGTGGCTAATCCTAGGCACAGAACCCAAAAAAACACCTACTTCCACGTCTTCCGACTCCCCACCCAGAGCTGTCCGGGAACCTCTAATAGTCCTGCATATCAGCAATGAGCAGCCCTGGGGGAGACGAGACCCTGAGGCAGCTCGTGTTGTCTGTCTGGTGGCGGGCGTGCTTGGACTTACAGCAATTTTTCAGAGTTTGACTCAGGGTCTTGTCTCACAGGAGAAACGTGTTGGGTAAAACAGGGGTTTTATTTCCCCAAAGATAACATTACGTGGATAGTCCTCTCTGTCATTTGTTGCACAAAGCTACCCCTAGCAGCCCCAAGCGGAAATGCTCCTGGGCCATGCATGTTGCTCTTTTCGACTCCTTCCATGTGGCCAGGGGGCTGGGGATAGCTACGTGGAACCGGGAAGCAAGGGGGGCGTTATCGAGCCAGCACGACTGTGTACCAGGAACGGTTGCTGTTTGGTGTGGCAGCAATCCTAGGCGCTAGGGACTGTTAGGACTGTGTTGGAAAGACGTTGAAGCTAGTCTTCTGACCAGAGGTGTAGCCCTCTCCACACTGTCTAGTGGGATGTCTTCACCTAGGAAGAGATTGAACAAGCAGAAGGGGCCCCCTTTCCTTCCACACAGTCCTTCCAGCCCTTCTATTCGTGGTAGGGCTACTTTGGTCCTCCCTTTGTGGATGTCTGGATACCTGCGGTTGAAGGTAGGCTAGAGAGGCATGGCAGCGCCTACGTTACTTTATTCCAAACCCTGCCAAGGACACCGTTTTCAAAGCCATGTTTTCCTAGGCTCAAAGCCTCGCTTGTTCATTGCCCGAATGAGGGGATGTCACTTCACCCTGTCGAGTGCCCGCTTTGTTCCAGGCTCTGTTCTCGACACCTGGCACACAGTATGAACAAAAGTTTCCTGAACAGGTGAGCTTCTGTCCCTTGGGGCAGAGGCAGGCAGTCAGCAAACGAATGCACGTGTCAGACGGTGGTAGGTGCCCTGAGAAGAGACAGAGAGAAAGAAGGAGACGCGGTTTGGCAAGGAGGGTGGAGGGGTCGGAGACCGTGTCTCTGATGGGGTGGCCTCAGACAGCAGTGGGATTCCCCTGGGACTGCAAAGACACGTACTCTGACCATTCCCCCAGCTCCTTAAAATAATCCCTCAGTGCATCCATGTGAAAACAAGCTGGTATTGAGGAATCCAGGGACCTTGGAATAGGACCAGGGGTGTTACAGAGACAGAGGACTTACCTTTGGCGATGAGTCGCTCTCTTTAACTATTTAGTGCAGTCATTGGAGATGGGATCTTATGTCCACCTGTGGGAGCCCAGAGAGGCAAAGGAGGAAGGCGGGGTAGGGTGACAGGGCGGAGGCGGAGGCTCGTAGAGAGAGGACGCAGAGTAAGGAAGAACCAGCTTCTCCCTGCACCAGGAGGCTCCAGATCTGCATTGTACGGTATCAGTTTTTAGTTTGTTTTTAACCAACTCTCTATCATATCCGGACCTGCTAGGCATCATTTCCTCATGTGTTAGTTGGGAAATCCGGTCTGACTAGTTTCGAGGTTTTCTCCGACTCGAGCGTGCTGTGCGGGTGTGAGCACAGTGTAATGAGTGGGTGACCAGCGAGGGAGTGAAATTCCTTCCAGCAGGCACCCTAACAGGAGCGGGAACATCAGCTATAAGGGACAAGCATTCATTTACCAGAAGTTAATTTTTAATACATCCCTGCAGTGTACCAGACCTTGTGCTAGGAACTTTAAATAAAATGTTATTTAGTTCTCCCACTCATGCAAGGAAAGTCTTTGCACTTGGGGAAGTGAAATGGAGAGTTAAGTAGTCTGCCCAGGTCTCAGAGAGCTAGGCGTACGATCCAGACGTTCTGCTTCCACAGTGTTTCTAATACCCAACGTGCGGGTGATGGGACGTCACGAAGGAATGCCCCTTCCTGGGCCTTCTCGTCCTGTCTGTTGCTAACACCAGCCATTCTCGGGGAGAATGCTGAGCACCTGCTATTCTGAGAACAGCACAAATGACTTTTATCTCCTGGGAATATGTAATCAGTACTATTTTAAATTTTACTATGACTAAAATCCCAAAACCATCGTTCCTGAGAGTCGGACTTAATTTCACCTTCTCCAGAGATTAATAGTGATGAAGGGGCTGGAAAACTCGAAATACCCTATGCAGAGTCACCAGCAGCCCCTGGGTGTAAATCCCTTGAATATATTCTTTCCCTCTGAGTTGTAGCCTAGAATGAAACCCATGCAAACTTATACTTGACCACCACAGAGGCTAATTAAAAGTGACTTTACTCTTAACTTGCACCGTATCAACTTGGGAGAACTCAGGATGACAAGTTCATGTCATAATTATTTATTGAGAACGTCCTGCCCTCCAGAGACTGCCCCGGGCAATAGGGAAAGGATAGAGAGCAGAGTAACATCCCTACCTTTTGTGATGTTTACCTTCTAATCGACTCACACACATACCTTCAGTTTATAAAAAGTCTGGAAAAGTGTGGAAACAGGTGTGCTGATAAATGGAATACTTTTGGTAAGTACTTTCTTTGAAAACCCAGGAATGATAGGGCAGAGTAGGGGAAAATGCAAAATGTCTGTGGGTAAATATGACAAACCATAGGCATAACCTATGATCATCGCATTTTTCAAAGCAGACATTGAGACATGCCATCTGGCAATAGTTTTTATTTTCTTTTTAATCTCTAAATTGATTTATATGAAACTTTCTCCAGAAGCATAAAAATAGAAGCACATTTAGGAATATATTCTATGGCTCACCTCTATTAAAAAGATTAAAACCATATGCAATGCAAAGCCCAGCAAAGATATTAATAAGAGGACTATAGTGTGTGTACCTTGGGACCTCCAGTTCCAAGCCAAGTATCCAGGCACAAAGCAGGCATTCTATAAATCCTGGTTAGCCAAACGAATCGGGGCTCAGATATCTACGTATACAATGTTAGAACAGAGAGAAGTATTCTCCTAAAATATTAAGCAGATGCAAGTAAGAAAACCTGGACAGAGCAAAGAGAAAGGACTGTGCGTGATCGGTGGCATCAGTTGATGGTATCTGACACGCTTGTGGGACCGGAGGGCTTTTGCAAATGAAAACACTCAAGTAACAACCATGTTTCTCCTTTCAATAGGGTGTTGTTGCTGGCGCACGTTCCAAAGGAGAACACAAACAGAAAATCTTTTTAACCATCTCCTTTGGAGGAATCAAAATCTTTGATGAGAAGACAGGGGTAAGTAAAAGAACCACATGGCATTGTGAAATTGAGTCCATTGACAGTTGTGCCCTTAAAAGCCTCTGCTCGCTGGGCTGGGATATCAAACAAGCATAAAAAGCACATGAAGCGACTGACAGGCTTGATCAATTGGGATCGTCCATCAAAGGGAGGCTGTTCCCTGACTTGGCCACAGTGTGGCTGCACCATGTTTCTTGTAGTGTAATTGTGATAAAGGTGTCACGGTCCTGGTAATCTAATGGGAGATGGATGAGCTTTGAAGAGCGGTGGGAAATGTGACCGTTTAAGTTAAATTTCTTCGTGCGTTGACGACTTTGATGACATGCGTCCTGGAGGGAGACACACAGAGCTCTTTGACTCGGCCAAAGCATGCCGACTCTCTTTAACCTGTGGAAGCTTGTAGTTGCTGTAATCAAAAAGAATAAATGGAGTTTGCAGTCTTAAAAAAAAAAATCTGTCACTTCATGACCAGGAAACGTAAGCGCTAGTATGTTTGTTGAGCCAACCAGAGACATGGCTTGTGTTTTCATCCACCTCCCAGAGGCGATTAGCTGCCAGGCTCTTCCCAGGTCTGGCCTGACGTTGCCGGTCCTGTGTGTTGATGGTAAGGGAAAAACAGAAGAATGTTCTACGATCTGTTTTGTGGAGAGGGCGGGAGTCAAATGGACAATTTGTCCTTTTATTCATTTATTCACCTCCACTGAACTTCACAAGGTAATTTATCAAGCACTGTATAAATAATACTCTACTGGCCAAGTTAATTAACCTTAGTCGTTTTGCATTATTATTTTCTCCCCTTTGTTCTGACTCATAGTAGGATAAACGTGGGTAGTAGGGTGGTCATGTACCAGCAGAAATGGGTCTTCTTGAAGGACAGTTACTCCTGAACAGCTAGTGATAAGACAGATACAGGCACACCCCGTCCACAGCAGCATCATTCCGAATAGCCAACAGGTGGAGGCACCCCGAGCGAACCTCCATGGGTGAACAGGTGAGCCAGGTGCGGTGTATACAGACAATGGAAGAAGTATGTAGCAGCGAAGGGGGGGGCATTCTGCCATGCTACAACACGGTTGAACCTTGAGGACCTTATTCAAAGTGAAATGAGCCAGTCACAAAAAGACAAATTCTGTAGATGCCACTGATGTGGTGTCTAGAGGAGTCAAATTCAAAGGGACGGAAAGTAGAACGGTGGTGGCAGGGCCTGGGGGAAGGGGCACGGAAGGGTGAGTGTTCCATGGGGCAGAGCTGAAGCTTGGGGAGAAGACAGCGGCATGGTGGGAGGCTGTGATGTGTGCAGAACAACGCGAATGGACTTTAGGCCACGGATCCACTTCAAAGTGGTTCGAGCGATGCCCTGGTTGGTTTGGCTTAGCAGTTAGTGTCGGCCCACAGACCAAAGAGTATCGGGTTCAATTCCAGTCAAGGGCGCGTACCTCAGTGGGAGTTTGGTCCTCGGCCCTGGTGAGGGTCATGTGGGAGGCAACCAGTTTGTGTGTCTCTCTCACATCGATGTTTCTCTCTGTCTCCCCATCTCACTCTGTCTGAAGATAAATGTAAAAATATCCTTGGGTTAGGATATTTTTAAAAAATGGTTAAAGTGATCAGTTTTTTTTATTAATTTATTTTTGTTACAGATATTCCCCCCCCCAAAAAAATGTGGTAAATTTTGTTGCATATATGCTACGATAATAAAAATAATTGAGAATAATAACTTCAGTTTATTGAGTACACACTATATACTAGGTACATATTAGTCACTTTGCATGCATTATTCAGTTTCATCCTCGTAAAGTCCTGTGAGATAATAGTAATAACAGCAACTTCATCAAGCACATTATATGTGCCAGGCACTGTTGTAAATCCTTTATAAGTACCAACCCATGAAACCCCTCACAACCCTGCGCGGTAGGAAGTATTACCTGCATTCTGCAGTTGAAGGTCTCCAGGAGAGAAAAGGAATTAACTTGATGAAGTAAGAGGTGGTGGAGACAGGAGTGGAATCCAGTCTAGCTCCCAAATCTTCCCTTAACTGCAGTGCTGTTGTCTCTCAGGATAAGAGACTTTCCCAAGTTCACCCAGCATGTAGGAGATAAAACTAGGACTTAGCTTACAGTTGGCCTGAGTCAGAAATCAATACAATTTGACTTCCGCACAGAGAGAAAAAGGGGCCTGCCTACCTAGGGATGCCTTGGTAGGAGGGAGTTTAGAAGGAAGAGCTATACATCAGTATAAAGGAGCTCTAAGGCTGCAAGGTCGAGAGCCTAACATAAGCTTCTCCCGCCTTTGTGAAAGTATGGTTCTCCTTTTCCTGGGCAGACTATAGTTTGGAGACCTATGCTCAGTTTGGAACAGCATATTTTAAAAAACATATAGGCCTATCAAAGAATATCCTGATAAGGGGGACTAGGGCAGTGGGGGATGGGAAACTATGCTGAACCAAGGCTTCTCAACACACATGTGGCCTCATGGGACCAAGCCTAACTGAGAGATATTCACAGGGATTCAGAGCTACAACCTGCGTCATCATCTCTAGTCTCTCCCCATTCCACGCCCGCCCATCACCGTGACAGCAGGCATAACCAAAGGCATGTGAGTGAGGCAGAGTATCAGATGCTTTATCTCGTTTGGGGGACATATTTGGGGGCTTTGCTATTCCATCATGTACCCCACCATCAAATAGTCTCTGCCCAGCTAATTAAAGTCATAACCACCCAATTTTAATGAATGTGGAGAGGTAGTTTATATTCTTTACCTTTATCTAAATCCTCAAGGGTAGCTAAGTTGGCCCCAAAGAAAGATAACCACCGAACCTTGCGATACTAGTTTCAATTCTTTAGCTGGAGAACAACAGTAAAGTCACTGTTTCAGCCCAAAGCCATGTAGCTTTGTGGGGAAAATGTCAGACCCCTAGTGGAGCATCAGGATGAAGGCAGTTGAATGTTTTCTGTCGGATTCTGTAGGACTGCCGTTAGCACTGGCTTCCGCAGGCCTACCTTGTTCATGTGCCTAAGTGCAAGTCTGGGGAAACTGGTAGAGAAGACTGAGCATGTTTGAGCCTGAAGCAGAGACAACAGGGAGCACGCCCCCTATGAATGGTGTTCATCCCTCCAAAGAGTTGTGTGGTAGAAGGTGATTTGTTCTGTGTGACCAAGGACTAGAACCAAGACTAGGTCATCGAAGTCTCTAGGAAACAGTTTCAGTGTATGAGTAAGAAGAATGTCCTGCCAGTCAGAGCTGTTGAACAGTTAGGTGGAGTGCAAGTGAGTTCACCATGGCTGGGAGTATTCAAGCAACAACCATGTATGATGGGGAAGTTGTGGAAGGGAGTCACATAGCAATGAGGCGTTGAGCAAAGTCACATCTGAGGTGATGACTGACACTAGTTGTAAGATTCTCTGTCTCCGTTAGTCATTCCTATCAGCATGATTTATCTCTGGGTCAGTGGAGTTTTCACAAAACCTTCACTGGAGATTACGAGCAGGAATAGTCTTCTAACCCTTTGCCACCGCCCAGCAGGGAACCGGCTGAGTTGTGCAGGGTACAAGTCTACGTGAAGTGTTCCGTCCTAAATATCAAAGAAGTGGAAACTGGGTCTTTGTCATTTAGAATGACCACTTTTAGCTGTTTATCACATCTGACGTGTTTTGCTCAAGCTTGACTGTACTTTTTTTAGAACCAAGAAAAGAAACATTTGCAGAACGTGACAATAGCTAGAATTTTAAATCCAAAAGCTGTCAGAAATGTTTTGATCCCAATTAAAGAGACCCTTTGTAGCAATTTACACCTTGTCTTGAATTTCAGAGGGCTCTTTATCCCAATCCTTATATGAGTAAATTTTGTTTTATTGTTAGCATGTTGCAGAGAATACGTCCATATTGAAAGCTGCTCCCGTTTTCAGATACTGAGGTATTGGTACTATGTCAAAGAATCAGTGAGAAGGCAGAACATATGTGTAAGTTCACTGTTGTTAGTAATAGTAGGAGCAGTAGCAAATCAGGAATGGTTTCATATCAATGTTAGTAGGCCCTCGAATCAGTCCACTGGACACCAGGCAAAAGAGATATCTTGAAAATAAGGGGAAAGGTTTTGAAAGTGTCCCTGACTTGGCTGTAGACTCAGAATAGACCTTCCAACTCCAAATCCTGTGTCTCCCCAGGGAAACTCATGGAACTGGCTCATCTCCCTATTTAGTTTTATTCCATAGGGTTATTATTATGTGATGCCATAAAAATCATAAATATTGAAGGTCCCTAAGATAAGTCTGTTTCTCAGATAGGGGACAGGGGTCTGCATCAGCTTTTCAAGATGCTGTAACGTCCCGTTGCCACACTCACCTGTGAATCCTGCTTGTTCATTTGGTTTAGCCAGCACTGACTCGGCACGATGGCGTGCACCATGCTGAGGACAGCACCGCTGGGCAGTGAGGTGTAGATGCTATTGTTCTCATCATTTTACACCTGAGAAAACTGAGGGCCAAGTAATCGGAGTCACACAGCAAATAAGTGGCAGAGCTGAGATTCAAGCCTATGTCATCTGGTCCAGAATCCTTGATGCTAGTAAGAGATTATTAATAATAACACACCTGCCTTAATAAAATACCATAAACTAGGTGGCTGATAAACAACATTTATTTCTCACAGTGCTGAAGGCTGGGGAGTCCCCGATCACGGCCCCGCTGGCTTCGGTGTCTTGTGAGAACCCGATTCCTCACAGACAGCACCTCTTTGCCAAGTCCTCATGTGGGAGAAGGGCCAGGATGCTTCCTAGGGCCTCCTTTTTGTTGTTGGGTTTTTTTTTGGTGGTACATGCCCCTAGCGGGAACCAAACCCGGGACTCTCTGGTCTGCAGGCTGATGCTCAACCGATGAGCCAAACTAGCCAGGGCGGGCCTCCTTTCTAAGGACTCTAATCCCATTCATGAGGGTTCCCCCCTCTTGACCTAATCACCCTCAAAGCCCCACCCCTCAGTACCATCCCCTTGAGAGTTAGAATGTC